CCAATAGGCATTATTGATATTTAAGGTATAAGAAGTTCTATAACCATTCAAATACTTGATATTAATTTACATTGCCTTCTATGTGTTTTATATTCTTTTTAATGCTGTGGTGCTTTAGCTGGAGAAAGCTGTCAATAGGCAGCAAATTTGGGAAAAATAAAATAATTGAAATTTATGCAAAGTCTCTTAATTTGATTTGTTCTGATAAAGTATCATTATTAATTATCTATCGTGTAAATTGGAGTAAAAAATATCAGGTTGTAAACCTTAGGGCGAGGAGACTTGGGGTAAGCTTGTTGTAGTTCAGTAGCATCAACTGTGTAAGCATTCGTGCATTTGGTGGTATTGAAAATAAAAATTCGTATCCTAACCTGCCTGTTTGACACAGAGACTTGTGTAGGGATGGTGAGCAGACGAATCCTCCCAACTGTTCCTCTTGTAATTTAGGTGATCACATACCAACCCTCTTGTATCTGGTTTTTGGTGGGCAGTCCATTTTAGCGATCAAACAGGTTGCCTATAGAGATGACAGACCTAGGTACATATTTGCTTGATTAACTTGTTTGTGACATGGTCGAAGAAGGCATCAAAGTAAAAGCTTGCCGTAGGCACATGATCTAATGTGGAAGATTACAAAGACTTAATTCTTTTGAAGCTTAGAAAAAGAGAAGATGCAAATTTTATATTATTCATCGATTTGTTCTTGTTGATGTGGCAAACATTGTGTTTTACTTCAATTTTCAGATGCTTCGTCATCTCCGGGCAACGACAAGGAGACAGAACGCATTTTGGTGCATTCTCCAGAATCTTTCATCTTGACCTGAGCTAAACTTATGCATTACAAGGCTCTGGAAGTCGTAGGGCATCACTTCCACTCTGAAAGCTTGTAAAACAGTACAAGATGCAAAGAACAAGCGTGTGGGTAGAGTATCTGTATATATGATGTTTAAGGTCTACCTTTTCCTATCTAATTTTACTTATAATAATTAGTTGTACAACATTTCTCTTTTTATATTTTTGGTGCAACCTTAATAAGATGGAGTTGATAAGAAAGTCATTTATCATATGTTTTTAAGCATATTCTATGTCCATGCACTTTATATTCTATAAGGTAGTTGCATTGTTCTCTAATCTTCATTATGACTTTTGTTGTTCTTATGATCGAAGAATAATCACAGATTAATTATATGTTGGCTTGATCGAGATAAAAGAATCTCTCGATGTTGTAGTCATGTTTATGTACTTGCAATATCAACACTCATGTGCTATTACCAAATAAATAAATGCACTAAATCAATTTTTAATTATTATTTTAAATAAACAAAAGAGTCACTTGTGTTAGTATACGTCTGAGGAGGGGATTGATCTACTTAAAAGCTTCCAATGATAAAAGATTGGATCTATAATTATTAACTTAAGATGATGATGACTGAAGACCATCAAATCAATGGATAATTATTCCATTTGAACTTAAAATAGACCTTGACAGGCGTAATTTGGCTTGCTTGCATAAATAATTATCCTTTTGGTTGTCATTTGTCATGTCGAGTTGGATTTGGAGTTTAGGTCAACGACAATGTCTCCAACCGGGAAGATCTCATGTCAAATCAAGATAAGTATTCTTGGATCTTCTTGTCTCTCTCATCCATCACCTGATTTAAGTAAATACAAAAATAAAACCCCATAAATCCACACAAAACCAGTTGTCGTGATAAACCCTAGAATAATAAGAAGGCACTCAGTATTCCTCGGCCAATTTTAGCCCTTCTTCCATTATGATCATCATTATAATAAGATATTTTTAAGAAAAAAATATGTTAAAAATACTTATTCCAAATTATTAATTTTTGGATAAGGAGAAAAAAAATACAGTAATGTGCTTCTCAAGTAAAAATATACCCAATACAAGAATAATAATGCACCCCTGCAAGGAAAAAACTGGTAACAGTGGGAGAGCTCTGCAGTGGCACACAAGAAAAAGGACGACATGTTCATACGAGCCAGACGACCGGATTACGCCGTCGAAAGATCCTCCAGCTGTGAGCACTGCAGCGAACCGATCGCCATGGAGGCCACCGCCTTCGCCCAAGCCACTATCTCCTTCTTCATCCTCTCCTCGTCGTTCCAAGCGGAAGGATCGATAGGCTGACTCACTTTTGCACCCGGAGCCAGAAGCATCGTCGCCGCCGCGCTGCTTTTCTTCTCCTCTCCGGCGGCTTGAGGTACGAACGGAGCTCTCAAATCCATGTCTGTGCCAACAGTTTCGGAAGAAAGCAATATATAGAGGAGATGAGGAGGAAGAACGAGGAACACGCTAGTGTAGTAGAAACGATGTGCGTCCAAGGAAACGCGTGGACACCAGCTTCGTTCTGTGGCTGCAGAGGGAATCGATCCATAAACAACGGAGAGTTGGAGATCTCTGCAGAAGCTCGTGATGGTCGTGTCACAATTCCTTTGCAGTATAATATTCTTTGGTCTCCCTTTGTTGCATGTGCGACATTAAGAATGGGAACAAAAGCACTCACAAACTGAGACCCACTGGATTGTAGGATGACATGGTTTCTGCTTGCTCATGCACTCAGCAGACTAGCAGAGCAGAAAAGGAATCAGATTTCACACTGGCTTTTTTGGAGTTTGGGCAACCATTAGGGATTGATGGATATCAATGTATCATATATTTATCTTAAGGATATATTAGGTGCTTTAATATTTTTCATGTTATTTGAGTTTAAACTAGTAACAGATATTAATGTTTAGTAGTGACTGGAAGGAAACACATCAGAGAGAAATATATATATATATATTTGTAAGGATAAATACACTACTTCTAAACAATATTGAAATGAACACAGAAAAAGGGGATGTTTTTTATTCGTAAAATCCAGTACAAGATTATGGCAAGCAAAAAAGGTTCCAAAACATAAATAAATAAGAGTAATTTTGACCGTCAAAGATGAGCGCTTGGCTGGAAGAATGTTCAATCTTTCTCGACACAAAATATATGCCTCTCCGCGTAAAGTGAGAGGGAGGTCTGAAAGATATGCCGCGTTCGATTTTGGCTTTGTCAACATAACACTATGTATTAGAATCATTGGCTACACCTGTGCCAAAAACATTGAATTCTGATATATAATAGCCACTGCACATGCAGGAGAAGTCAGAGAGAAGGACAGAAGTTTAGCGGGAGTGCTATCTTTTGGAGGCTGAAATATTCCAAGGACAAACGTACACCGAAGACCAACGCGAAATGGCGAGCGTGATATCATTCCCCGATCTTGATGTTTGTGTGTGTATGCGTGTGAGAGAGAGAGACGCAGAAGAAGAAGATGTGAGAGTGAGAGAGAGAGAGCAGAAGAAGAAGATCCAGGTGCATCAACTGGTAATTCGGCATAGAACAGCCATGTGTGTGCCGCGAAAGAGAGAGAGAGAGAGAGAGAGAGAGAGAGAGAGAGAGAGAGAGAGAGAGAGAGAGAGAGAGAGAGAGAGAGAGAGAGAGAGAGAGAGATGAAGAAGAAGACCCAGGTGGACCAACTGGAATTCGGGATTCTCTCAATTCTAACCATGCTACGATATAAAGAGATTTCATTCCCCAAGTGTTTGACCCAATAGTGATAGCACAGACAACTCATGATCGATATTCAAATGGTAATATTGAGCTCATTAGAACTCAATCATGATGAAAAGAGATATCTCACTTTCACTGGTTTTCTTGGTACTGTGTATATACGTGAGGGTGAGCTATATATTGAGTTCACGAACAACACAAGTATGTTGCACTCATCATATACAAAGAGGAGTTCAATCAAAGGAACTACAACACGAGCAACAATGGCGGACTCCAGTGGGCATACAAGAAACAAGGACTAACTAATTAGTAAGGAATGGAGCGTCTTCGCAACGTGCTGTCCTCTCGCCGCAAATGCTGAGCCGAACGGATCGCCATGGCGGCCACTGCCTTTGCCCAAGTCACCAACTCCTCCTTCATCCTCCTCTCGTCGCCCCAAGCCGATGCATCGATAGGATGGCCTATTTCTGCGCGCGAGATCAGCAGCATCGTCGCCGCATCTCCCTCTTTCTTCTCCCCGGCATCTCCCAAAGCCATCTCAGGAGTTCCTGGAGCACCAGCTCTAGCCTCGCTTCTCTGTGTCTTATATGGGGGAAAAGGAGGAAGGACGGTGCGTCGAAGGAACCGTGTGGACATCGATCCAAGTAGTTTATGCCTTCTTCTCCTTCACGAGGCAAATGCTGTGGTAATAAAATAAGAGAAGCTTCCGATGTTACATGCTAATTAGGCCGCACGGCTATTTCAATAGGGCTCGTGCATGGTGCATCAATCAGGTCGGGTTTGACCATCTTTGACCAGGGAGTGATAAGTCAACTAAGCTACAAAATCCTTGTTTCTGAAAGGAGACCACAGTCAACGCTAAGTTGGCATAAGTCAACTAAGCTACAAAATTACGGACAAATCCTTGTTTCTTGGCTTCTGCTGCGTTCAAAAGATTTGAACGGAATAAAGACTCAACTCGAATAGAGACTATTTTTTATTATAGAAATAAAAAATATATAAAAATACATTGGTAAGTTTACTTATGAGACATTTTCGTTGGGTGTTTTAATTCTACTTATGAGACATTTTCAGCTTTAAAAATATCTTTTATATTTTTAAAGCTGAAAACTAATAAATAAAAACCTATTATTTGGTGCATCACTTTCTTTCTGAAAATAGTTTTTGAAAATTGAAGATGAAAGCATCTATTACTTTCCTAATAAGTTCAAAATTACTCGACTTTCTCAAATAAAAAACTATTATTTGTTGGTATTGATCCAAATTTTAATGCCTAAATTATGCAAATATTGTGGGAGAATAGATCTAAATGTTAAATAAATGATTTTTTTAAAAAGAAATATTATATTAAATGCCGTAATTTTATATTAAATGGCGAAAACATTGTCATCGCTTAGATTGGCAGTTACGGACGGTTGTTGTGCGCAGTCTCGTGATGGATCTCCGCGCTCGAGTTCGTGAGTGTAGCTGAATCCAACAACCGATGCTCCTCGAGAAGCTCTGCGTCCCCCTCAGAAGCGGCCTCCTCCGCCCTTACCGCGCCTTCTCCCAGCCTCCCCATCTAGCCCTCCACCTCCTCCTCTCCTCCCACACCCCAGACCTCCGCTCCCTCCGCCGCCACCATGGCCTCCTCGTCGCCGCTGGCCACTCCGCCAACCCCTTCTTCGCCGCCAAGCTTATCTCCCTCTACGCCGTCTTCCGCCGCCCCGACGCCGCCCTCCGAGTCTTCGCCGCGGCCGTCCCTTCCAACCCCCGCGATACCTTCCTATGGAACTCCGCCATCAAGTCCCATTTCTCTTGTGGAGACTTCCGCCTCGCCCTCTCCCTCTACAGCCAGATGCTTTCTTCCGGCGCCCCCCCTAACGAGTTCACTGTCCCCATGGCCGTCTCGGCCGCCTCTGAGCTCCTCGATCTCGATATCGGCTCTTGCATCCATGGTAGCGCGACTAAGTTTGGCCTTTTGCCGGAAAATTCGGTTGTCGTTGGGTCCTCTTTGGTTTACATGTACTCCAAGTGCGGGGAGGTCGGTGGTGGCTTTCGGGTGTTTGATGAAATGACGATGAGGGATGTGGTTACTTGGACAGCACTAATCGTTGGTTGCGTAAGGAACGGGGAGTCTGAGATGGCTTTAGCGTGCCTTAAGGAGATGCACCGGGTCGCTGATCATGGAGATGAGCGGCTCAATTCTCGAACAGTGGAAGCCGGTGTGCAAGCTTGCAGAAGCTTGGGGGCATTGAGGGAAGGGAAGTGTCTCCATGGTTTCATTTTGAAAGCCGGAATGGAGGATTTTGATTCTCTGAAATCGTCACTTCTCTCAATGTACTCAAAATGTGAATGCTTGAACGAGGCTGTTCTTGTGTTTCAAGCATTGGCAGAGAGGGATGTGGTCTCATGGACCGCAATGGTAGTGGTTCATATAAGAAAAGGCCACATAATTGAGGGCTTGGAGCTGCTTAGAAAAATGCAAGATTCAGGAGTCGAGACTGATGGAGTACTTTGCAGTTGCATATTGGTAAGTTTTGGAGATATGGGTAGCGTTTGTGGAGGTAAGGGATTTCATGGCATTATGTTGAGAAGAAACTATGAATTGAGTCCATCAGTTGTTAATGCTTTGATCTCTATGTACTGCAAGTTTGAAATGTTGCATCTTGCAAGAAAGGTTTTCGATATAATGGGCCAGCTAGATGCGGAGTCATGGAATTCAATGATCTTTGGATGTGGAAAAATGGGGCTGGACATTGAGTGCTTGGATCTTTTTAGAGAAATGCTGTTTCGAGGTTTTGATTCTGATCTCAACAGTTTAGTGACTGTGACCTCTTGTTGTTCTCGCTTGATGGCATTGTTCTTAGGCCGATCTGTCCATTGCCACACTATAAAAGTTGCACTTGATGGAGATATATCTATCTGTAATACGCTTGTAGGAATGTATGGACAATGTGGAAGGCTTCATCTTGCCAGGAGAATATTTCAACAAACAAGTAAAGATGTTATCACGTGGAATGCTTTAATAGCAGCTTATGCTCGTCTTGGATATTCAAATGCTGCTTTGTCCCTTTTCTATCAAATGCTCTTGGGAAATGTGAGGCCCGATTCTACAACCTTGATAACTATGCTCTCAGTTTGTTCTCATGTGGCGGCTATCAACCTAGGAAAGTGGATACACGATTACGTGAAAGAAACGATATTAGAGGATGATGTCTCTCTTAGAACAGCATTGGTTGATATGTATGCTAAATGTGGGCAGCTCGGGGTCTCAAGAGAAGTCTTTAATTCTATGCCTGAAAGAGATATTGTTTCTTGGAATGTCATGATTTCAGGATATGGGATCCATGGCTATGCAAGAGAAGCAATTGAGGTGTTTAGAGAAATGGAGAAGATGGGTGTCAGGCCTAATGATGCCACATTTCTTGCAATTCTGTCTGCTTGCAGTCATGCAGGAATGGTAAATGAGGGGAAAGAGCTCTTTGATAAAATGAAGATCTATTCTATTTCTCCCACACTTAAGCACTATGCTTGTATGGTTGATCTTCTAGGTAGATCAGGTCATCTATCAGAGGCTGAAGCTATGATTCTTAAGATGCCAGTCAAGCCAGATGGTGGGATCTGGGGAGCTCTGCTCGGTGCTTGTAAAATTCATGATGATGTAGCAATGGGTGAGCGGGTTGCAAGGAAGGCTTTTGAATCAGAACCCGAGAATGATGGTTACTATATTCTCATGTCTAATATATATAGTCATGCTGGTAGATGGAATGAGGTGGAGATGTTGAGGAAGATGATGAAGCATAGAGGGGTGACAAAACGAGTTGGTTGGAGTGCCACATAATATGGCAGAATGATTTATATTTTCGTGATGATGAGTGTTCTATTTCCTACCGTCATGGAATTCGATGTTTCCAAGTCAAGTTGATAAATTTGGCTATGATCCAAAAAGAAGTATGATCCATTACTTGACTGTGGTTACAGCAAGCTTGTGCGGTTTTGCTAAATGGTTCCCAAATCAAACCTTGACAATTTTGTCTTGGTAAAGAAATAGAGTTGGCCAAGAAGTTGACCAATGGCATGCTGCAACAGAACAAAGCAGTTTGTTCGATCGATTGAGATAGAAGTGAGACATAGACAATAAAGGAGCATTTACAAGTATCAGCATCAAGTAATATACTGCTTCATCCCCTACTCAATAGGCTTTGCATGATGTATAACATTTAACCTTTGAGCACAGTGCATCGGACATGTGATTATCATATGAGCGTCGGAGACCATTTGATAACAGTGCTTATATTGGGTTACCAAATCAGATTACCTGAATCATGAGGAATATCTGACAGTTTACAGGTGAGGATTCTTGTCTCATATTTGCTGTCCTTTGTTCTTTTCGGCTTGGTACTGTTGGACTGCTCAGAGCTGAAAGTTGAATTCGGATAAGGTTGGTGTGCTGCTTGGAAGGTTTGGGTCAGTGGTGGTAGCTCCTGGATGGACAGGATGATATCGGGCTTGGCAACAATGAGTTGTATTCCTTGATCTTGAGTCACATTGCATTCCATAATGAATATAGTATTTATTGGTAAGTGTCATAGTCATGGACAAAACTACAAAATCAATGTAAGAATGCCTCAATTCTCCAACTAGAGTATTACCACCTCTAGATTTGTTGGTGCCGTTTAGATTTAGTGGTGGGTCTCAGATTGGATTCCTTTGCCTGCTACCAAGTCACTCATCCATTCATGGTCAAAGGGCAAATTTTGTTTTGTAGCTCTGAACAACCAAAAATAGGTTTATCTTAGAAAACTAAAACAAATAATGCAAGATGATTAAATGTTTTGACTAAACCACTATGCAAGGTTTTCTTCATTAGTGCTCACCACTAGATTATTTTTATCTTCATCTTGATTTTTCCATAGTTTGATAGAATTTTAAATTTATATATTTTTGAATTTGTAGAATTTTGATTTAGTCATCTCCTAGCATCTGTCAAAATGTGATGGGAATGTTTGGAGCTTTCCCACATAGACTTTGATCTACATGCAACATCATTTTGTCTGGAAAAGGCTTGAATGACATTTGCAATTAGCAAAGCAAAATGGTTTGTTTTCTGGAATAGATCGTAGAAGGGAAAAATGCACTAGATTCTGCTCCTTCCATTTCTTTGTTGTTAGTCTAGTATTTAGTGTAAGTTTCTAGAGCATCTGTCTACTACACTTCTGAGTCAATCTTGACATTCTTACCATTGAGGAGATTTGCCATTACTTGATTGCCAGATCAAATCTCAAAGTTATGACATTAGTTTTTCATCATTAAAAGAAAAAAGGATAATGCTGTCAATCCTTGGAGCATAATAAGATGAATTCTTGGCATCCATTAGGCTTAAATTATGGGAGTATATTATCAGATACTTTGTTGCATATAACCATCAAGCTTCCAAATAAAGTGATTTCCTCATATGTAATTGAGAAAATTGAGTCAATCTTTCTACCGACAACTCCATGAACTTTGTCCATTTTCTAAAACGGAAAATTTTGAATCCCTTGTAACCGGTTCACTACAATCAAGCAATTTCTTCCATCCTTGGTTGGATATAGATAGGTATCTGAATTTTTTACGACCCGGGCCTAATAGGCTGACTAACTCATCAACTTTGTTTGATTTAAACTATTGATCAACATGCTTAAGTTGAAGTAGATAATAGTACACTCATCAAATCCTTATAAGTCAATCTTAGGCTTGACCACTTTCGATGCGGAACTAATCGGGGTGTTACAATTTCCCTCACTCAAGGGCCTGACATCCTTGTCAAGGCCTAGCATAATCTAGATCAAACCCTAGCATGGTGTATGTGAGACGTAACCCAGTGGTAGCTTTATGACATGACGAGTCATCTGATTCTATCCACGGGTATCCCTTTCCTTTTCAAACCCTCTTGTCATGCCCAGATATTAGATCATCTCTGATATCAAATGTCACAACTCGAGCCTGATGGGCTAATTAGCCCATCAATTTCATTTGATTTAAACCACTGGCCACAATACACTCATTAGACCCTTATAAGCAATCTTAATCTTGCCCGCTTCTGATGTGAGACTAATCAGGATGTTACATGATTGACATCTAACAATAGAGTATGGAGAATAATAGTTAGTAGGACACAAGAAACGTACATTCCCACCATAAGAATAACATCTAGTTTTTAAGATTCAAATATTAAATGCAAGACATATCTATCATATTAATTATTTTTTGTCATTGATAATCTCAAGACTCTTAGAGGAAAAAAAAAAAGGGGAGATTCTTGTAGATGTATTACATGATCTTTTTTTGTAGAATAACATTGAACACCTCATTTCTATTGTATTATTGTGCAAGCACCGTAAAGATCATCAAATTAAAAAATAGATAGGATTTGTATAACTAATTCTAAAAATTGTACCTTCTGTTGCAGCATTTCTATTCAAGTATGGATATCCAGAGTGAAGGGAGAGAAGAAGAGGGAACCTGTAACAAAGATGTTTGACCGGCGATGCCGTTGTCATTGCTTTGATGCACAAGCAATGGGACGAACAAGTGCATAGTAAGCAATCAGAAGAGAGAACTAGTAAGGTTAGAGCACCCAGTGAGTTTGACAAGAAGCACAGTCAGGAGCCTAGGACAGCAACAGGAGGTCTCTTTTTCATTTATCAAGTGGCTTAGTCCAGGATCCTGAGACACACTGTCACCGGCTTCATAAATTATTACATGGCCTATTTAGAATCCTGCTCGACTACTTGGTTGTCATAATTTGAGATCTCATCCTGACATGGTTGCTTTATCTAATAATGTAAGTACACTTCTGTATTTTCTTGTGATATATTAGTTGAGGATCTGAAAACCATCACTGACAGCACAATTTGGCTTCGGATGGATGCCTCAAATACTCAAAGAAGCATCATTTAATCATATATATATATATCTGTAGAAATTACAGCTATGCAGCATTTTTTTTATTCAGAATGAAATGGGGACAGATTCTTTGATTGAATGCGTGGTCTTGTAATAAATTTGAGTATGCAATATATGGTTTTCTAGTAGCTAAATGGAAAATTGAATACACAAACTGTGTCTGGTGTATGGTCGTCCAATAAGGTTAGCAGGACCTGCTGCATTGTTCTGTTGAATTCTAAATGCTGTTACTTGAAGACGCAGTGTCCTTTCATTCCTAGAGTTTGGTAGTGTAAGACTTGGTATCTCGGGGATCGAAACAATCTTTGTGTTTATGATATATTGTATGCATCTTTTTATCTTCTTCACAAAGAGTTTCTTATATTTATTTATTTTTTCTTTGTGTTTGGTGCATGCATTTGATGGTGGAGTCTTATGCCACTTGAGGTAAAAGAAATGCGACTGGAAGAAGCTTGTAGAAGTTTATTGTGCTTTGCAAGGTTTATATGACCATCTCATTTGGATTATTCATGTCCTAATTGTCACGTCGATCAACATTCGGCATCCACCGGCGAGAAACATTCAACTGGAAATTTTGCTTTTAATGTATTCGTATTAGATAATGTATTGAGAATATTTTGCTGTTTACAATAAAAGATAATTTGATTATGATCATGACAAAAAAATCATGTATGGGCGTTTTAGTTGATTTCAAACATAGATGATTGTTTCCTAATGGGTTAAGGTTCATAGTTATTGTGATTTTGGTTTACTCGTATTTAAAATAATTCATATATTTTAAAAAATATAGTATCTTTTCAATAAGTTTAAATTAACAAATGTTAAAATTTTCTTACATATTATGTTGACTCATAATAAATCATTAATATAATGATACATATAATTTAAATTTTAAAAAGGATTAAAGTTCATTTTAGCCAATGTGATTTTTGCTATAGACCAATTAAGCCATTATAGTTTAATCGTGTCTAAAATAATCATTATATTTTTAAAAACATAGTATATAAGTTCCTCCTATCAAGTCTGAGTTAATAGACATTAGAGTTTGCTTACGTGATATATTCACTCGTAATAAATTATTAATATAATGATATGTATAATTTAAATTTAAAAAAGAGTTAATCCATTTTAGTCCTTATGGACCAAATAAGTTATGATTTATTCATGTCTAAAATAATCTCTATATTTTAAAAAAACATAGCATATAAGTCTTTCTTGTCAAGTTGAGTTAATAAATGTTAGAGTCTACGTGATATGCTGATTCATAATAAACTATTAATATAATAAATAAATATAATTTAAGTTTAAAAAATGATTAAAATCTATCTTGTCAAGGAAGAGAAAGTGATGGAGGCCATAACAAGAGACAAAGGCAGAGAGATAGAGGTAAGAGAGATCGGAGGTAAAAGTGAGGGAGAGCTAGACCATCACGTCGTAGGTGTGGCAGGTGAGGACGTAGGAGATGATGAATTTAAAGATGGTGGGATAAAGACGTCCAAAAGGAGAAAGAGGGACCAGAAGACTTTTGCATGCATAGCGTTGAACTGGTCGACACACATCCACCTGAGGCAGGATCGAAAGCTCCTCAGCTTGTCGTAAGTGTTGAAGAGGTTACGTGCATACGACACCCTGCTAGGTAACAACGGCTCGATGCTACTATTGGTGGTCGCTTCCACAATGATTGATGGTTATCTTAATTTAAATATATATTACATGTGTCATTATATTAATTAATCATTATGAGTTCGTATACCAGGTAAACAAACTCTTACGTCTATTAACTGAAACTTGACGAGAGGAGCTTATATGCTATGTTTTTTAAAATATAAAGATTATTTTGGATACGATTAAATCATAAAAACTTAAGTGGTTGATGATTAAAATCATATGGACTAAAATAGATTTTAATCCTATCCTAATCATTGCTACTACGTGTATAAATGATCATTCATTGGTCAATTGCACGAGACGGTTACTAAACACATTAATAATAAGGCTCCACTCGTGGCATTAGTAAAAATAAAAAAATGATAAATAATATTTATGCATAGAGATTTCTTTTCAACTTATGGTTAGGGAGGATCAAATTATAAAAAGAAATTGAATTAACGAGGTCAAACTTTTTTTCTTCTTCTTTATAATCTAATTCATTTTAGATTGATCTTAATACAAACTAATATCACATTGGATGTTTTAAAATATTTCAGACGACAAGAACAAAGGCTCCTATCATGATTCGAATTTGAACTAAGTTAGGCTGATCAACCACAACCCTGTTGGCACTTTACCAACTTTAAGAGTGATGAATGAAACCTCTGAGCTAAAACTATCAAGATAAGAAATATTGAGCATATTTGGTTTGGTGCCTTACATAAATGAGAAATGAGGGAGCCGTCCAAATGTTAAAACCTGTTTTTGGAAAATCATACATTCATAACTATATTTTTATTTAGAAATTTGTTATCTAATGATCTAGTGATATATGGCTTACCAATTACTACGACTTACCATGCTGAATATGATTTTGATAACTACGTTGTAAAATGCATGTACTTATGCAATTATTCTTATTATTTCTAAGAATTCGAATGTGCGAATCCAATATATCGAAGATACACTTATGATTCCCATCCACATACATTGCACGTCATATATCTATTGCCAATCCATCCCCTCGCATGTTCAAAAGGAAATAGGAAGAAGACAGCCAAAAACACGACAGTGTTTTAGGATCACGTGTAAAACGTGTGCACCTGCCAACCGCATGCCACACTTTCCCGTACAAGACAAGAGACACCATGCGATTCACGTGCGCCGTAGAGTCCTCGTATAAATAGATGTTAGGGTTAAATTATTAATTACCAAAACTCATCTAATCTTGTGTATGTGACGACGGCATGCAGATAAGTTGTGTTAGGTGAAGCAGTTGTTTTAGCTGACTTTGACTGGATAAGCACTTTTTGTCGCCGTCAGTCAAGTATTGCTGAGAATAGAATAGTTTCTTCTTACAGATTGCGATGTATTTATGTATTTTCTGGGAAATTAGCCACTTCTATTGTCTTACTGTTCTCAAGCCATTATTATATGCCTCAGTAAATCCAATAAGGATTTGATCTGGGCTTTCTAATTCTAATTCCACAGACGTTACCTTTTATACGAGACCCTTTACCGTGAATCAGTGATTCCCACGCAAGCCCGTGCGATTGACGAATTAGAGGACGGGTAGCAGAGTGGGCTCCGTCAAAATTGGTGAGAAGATTTTAAATCTTTCGCTTTGGAACGCCACTTGCGTCGCACGTGCTTTCACCAACCCTACCCGCGTGGAGAAAATAGGGACCCGCGGCGGCGGCCCGTCTCGGTGACCCGAACGCATAACCGTTCAAAAGTTGCCGGGGCCCAGAGAAACGACAACTCTGGGTCCCACTTCCGCCAAGCGACTCGGCAAGTCAAGTGGGGATAAATACGTCATTTCATGCTCTGTAAAATAATAATAATATTTTTTTCAATTTTCCGCCCATTTTTATTTCCAATGTTCTATTTGTTTTTGATTTCTTTGCTAATAATAAATATTATGTGAAAGACCATAGTGAATCCTCATGCAATGATAAGAACAACAACCAACCAGTAGAATGTGTTGGAGTTGGTAAAGAACTAATACAAAGATTTTAGACATCACAATCTTTTCGGGATAAGATTATGACGTAAAATAAATAGCAACTTTTAATAATGGCTTAATCATCATGGATAAGTTAATTGACATACATTCAATATTGAAAAAGTGTATATAATATATATTGTTAAATTAGTGTATCCACCACATTTGTCAGATTTCATGTTTATGTGTGAGCTTAGCTTCTTCTATACTATTCAATGTAATGACAGAAAGGAAAGATAATTAAGTTAGAATTTGAGATGGCCCTCAGTTTAATTAATGCAAACCTAATGACTTTGACTTAGAAACCACATTGATTTTGTTATCATGATCTACAAAACCCCAATTATATTTATTTGTCTTTAAATAAATACCAAGAATTAGTTGATCAATAGGGAAAATTCAAACTATTTATTAACATATTTTTGAAGCAGTCTGTCTAATTTAAGGAGTAAAAGTGAAAGCATAGAGCATGTTCTGAATACATCCATGGCTGAATAAACACCAGAAATTAAGGAACAAAGAAAAATTTTCATGAAATTTTGGTCCCAAGAGGTATAAAAATATTTATTGTATTTTAAAACTTAATATAAATATATATACATATCCGATTTATTTGATCTTCATATTTATCCCTTTAAATTAATATTCATCAATTAACTACTGATTGACTAGGAGATGTTAAAATTCTAGTAATAATAATAATTATTTAATACTTTTTATTATTATCAATTATTATGTTTTTTTTATTAATATTATATTATCTATTAATTATATATATATGATTGAAAGGATTTCCCATATTAAATTATATAAGGGTGAAAGAAATCCGAATAATTTAATGGGCAGATATGGCTTCCTAAACTTTTCCTGGAATACCCCTCTTCAAGTTGTCAATTTTCCTGGAATATCCCCACCCTTCGTCTCACCCACCACCATCCCATTCTCTTCTCCTCCTCCATCCGCTGGCTCTCTATATATCTCCCCCCCTCCCCACATCCCTTCTCCTTTCTCTGCTCAACCATATTCCTGCACTTCTCTCAACAATCTCCCCTCAAAATGGCCCTCGCCAGCGGCGCCTCTCTCCTCCCCCATGCCCAATCTCTCTCCTCCTCCTCTGCCACCGCCGCCCAACACTGCCTCCCCTCCCTCCTCCGCTCCCCACGGTGGAGGCCCTCCCACCGCCCCATCTCCGCCGTCCACGCTGCGGAGCCCGCGAAGAACCCCGTCAAGGCCAAGGAGTCACCTTTGGTGGCGACGAGGCCCGGGAAGTGGGCGGTCGACAGCTGGACGTCCAAGACGGCGCTCCAGCTGCCGGAGTACCCCGACAAGGAGGAGCTGGAGTCGGTGCTGCAGACCATCGAGAGCTTCCCGCCCATCGTCTTCGCCGGCGAGGCCCGCCACCTCGAGGAGCGCCTCGCTGACGC